CTCTTTGCCATGAAGATCTCAGACGTCGCCTAGTACTGTACTGACTACTGAGACTAAGCACCTTAATTCCCGACCAATAGCTTAGTTGATGTCGGTAGGCTGCTCTTCCTCGCGGTGATGCTGGTTCTCTTGATGAGGATGCGCAAAATGGTAGTCATGGTGATAATGAGCTGGGCCACCGTTGTTCTGGTGGCCGTTGTGTTGAGCGTGCTGATGTTGAGGCACATGAACATTATGTTCATGATGATGATGGTGAGGATGATGGTGGGGATGATGGTCGGGATGACGATGAGGATGTTGATGGGGATGAGGATGAGGATGATGGGGATGAGGATGAGGATGATAAGGATGAGGATGAGGATGATGGGGGTGAGGATGAGGATAATTTGGCTGAGGATGCGGATAATGGGGATGAGGATGGAGGTGAAAGTGGTAAGTTGTCTGGGGACTAGGAGGGGTTGGGTATATGTTGGGTTGAAAGACTTTGGCAAGTTTGGCGGAGACAAGCCCGCTCAGTGGGAAAAAGAGACGTGGGTCGGCGTTTGCATCTTGCTGGATCGCAATAATCGCTTCTGGATCGATTTCAACTGCAAGCTGAGAAGGATACTCAGGTGCTCCGTCTGCAGCAACGGCTGCGCAGGCTGTGAAACCGACTAGGGTGGCTAGGATAGTCCTCATCTTCAAACTTGTTCTTGTAGCCCCAGTAAACGGTTAAGAAGTAAAATAGTGTGATAGCCTTTGATTTTATTTTGGGGTCCTGTTAGTGAAGGTTTCAGAACACGATTTCGGAGGGACGCGAGGTGGTCAGGGTGTTCAACACAGTTGCCTATTGTCCGGCGTGGCCTGGGGGTGACCATCGGCGCCGCCTTTTCGCTGTCTCCCACGCGATCATTCTATAATGGGTTCGTGTCAAGTGCCCAACTATTGAATAAAATCAGCTTTGATTTTTAAAAGTAGACTTCTGTTGAAATTTCAGTCTTCAGTACCTGTTTCAATACTTGCAATTCGCAGACGCGCGAAGGACGCGCCATTCCCGCCATTTCGGCTGTCCACATTGAGGCTGAGGTTACGCGCGTTGCCGGCACGTTTTTCTCGCATGTGAATCCGAGAGAGTCAGAAGCCATTAGAGTCAATTAAGTCAGCGTAGTACAGGGTTTTCCTCAGGTCGAAGAGCACTCTACTGCCAAATACCACAGGAAACATAGGTTGTCTCGTGTGAGGCGATTGTATAAAGTCATATTTTTCCATGATGAAAAATAAATGGATTTGTCCACTTGTGGGGACACAGTACTGACACGCTTGAAAATGATTCCAAACGTAAATTCATACGATGGAGAGTTCATCATGGACGAGTCCGCTCCTAGCCACTTCCTTCGTTCCGCCAGATTGATTTCCAACTTATTGCTGAGGACAGCGGCAGCAACCGTCTGTCGCTTGGAAGTCTTACGATCTGCTTGCTGTTTTGGATGTGGGACTTTAGCCCCAGGAGACGTCAGCGGTAATCACCTCGCTACCCATGGGGCTGAAGTCTCACGCTAATAGCAGCAAGCAGCGTAGCAGGAACACTATCATCTTGCCATCGGACATTTGTCTAAAATTCCTGTTTAATGGCTACGTGCAACAGTGATCTCTGTGAAATGCTTCGTAGTGAGGTCCTCTTTGGAGCAAATGGTCACAATTCGTATTCTCTAACATCGTAGGGAGTTCTAAATGCACTGTAGCAGTGATGTTCCTTAGTGTCGATGTTTCGTGCAACGCTTATGAAAGGGTTGATGAAAAAATAGTTCGTGGAGAACCTGTGCCGTATTTAAAATGGCACTTCGTAGCTGCATTTGCAGCGCCAATCACCCTTTAGGCCCCTCTCGTGCTTTCAGGGGCAGACCTGCAGAGACTGAAATTGGAGCCCTTTAAATTTAAATTTGTCTAATAAAACATAGCCGAGTCAGCTTGGTGGCTGGTATCTCTTTGCCATGAAGATCTCAGACGTCGCCTAGTACTGTACTGACTACTGAGACTAAGCA